GGCGACAGAACAGCAGAGATGGGGATAAGGAAATAATAAGTGGGTGTCATAAAGAGAGTCTATAGAAGAAAGGGCGTCCAAGATGAAGGGCGAGTGAGCTGAAGAGAGAGGAATGGAGAAGAGTGGGGCGTGTGGTTACTTTGGGAGGGTGAGCACGCGGGTGAGAAAGTGAAGAGAGGGTGGGGAAGTCTCGTGGGTGTGTGGGAGGGTGGAGGCAGGATGAGTAAGTGGGTTAGAGGTGGAAGGAAAAGGGGGATGGGTGTGTTAAGGGCTCTGGGGGATGGGACTGGGACTGGATAGGGTGGTGAGAGAAACCGAGGATGGTGTGTGTTTGTGTGTGTGTTGGGGGTGGGGGTTATTTTGCTGACATGCTCTATTATTGGCTGGTTCAAATGCTGGGGGAGGGGCAGCCACAAGCCATACTCTCACCAGCTGTAGGGAAGAGCAGTGAAACAAAGGGGGGGGGGGGGGGGTATGTTTTAATGTTGATATCCTGCTCTAATTAGATTTCTGTCCGAGTGCTGGAATGAATGGAAACATTTGATAAAGTTACAGGAAACGACGAGGCGCGCTGAGCTATGGCCGACAAATTGTGTTTTTAGTACAAGAAGTTCTAGATCTACAGTGCTCGAAAGTTTGTGAACACTTTATAATTTTCTACATTTTTTCATCAATATGATCTAAAACATCATCGGATTCTCACACAAGTCCTAAAAATAGATAAAGAGAACCCAGTTAAACAAATGAGACAAAATATTAAAACTTGTTCATTTATTTATTGAGGAAAATGATCCAATATTAAATATCTGTGAGTGCAAGTACGTGAACCTTTTGCTTTCAGTACCTGGTGTGACCCCCTCCCGCTGTGCTGCAATAACTTAAACCGTATGTGTCAAACTCAAGGTCCGGGGGCCAAATGTGGCCCTCCTTAACATCTTATCTGGCCCCTAAGATGTTATTTTAAATGGTAAAATACTTTTATCACTTTAATTTTTTTCAGTAATCTTTGATTATGATGTCAAAAATGCAACAGAAAACATCTAATGAGACCAATCAAACTCTTACTGAGGAACCTGCAGTCAAGAAAAGATGTTTAGTAAATGTAGATTCTGAAACGGTCCCTTACTTTGAAAAAGGTTTTAATTTTGGCCCCTTTTGTAAGTGACTGACTTAAACCAAAGGTTTCTGGTAACCGTTGATCAGTCCTGCTCACCTTGGAGGAATTTTATCCCTCTCCTCCGTACTGAACAGAACTCTGGATGTTGGTGGTTTCCTCACATGAACTGCTGCTTCAGGTCCTTCCACAACATCTAGATTGGATTAAAGTCAGGACTTTGACTTGGTCATTCCAAAACACGAAGTTTATTCTTCTTGAACCATTCGTTGGTAGAACCGCTTGTGTGCTGAGGGTCATTGTATTGCTGCATGACCCACCTTCTCTTGAGGTTCAGTTCATGGACAGATGTTCTGACATTTTCCTAGAATTCTCTGATATAATTCAGAATTCATTGTTCCATCAATGATGGCAAGAAGTACTGGTCCAGCTGCAGCAAAACAGACCCAAACCATGATACTACCACCACCATGTTTCAAAGATGGGACAAGGTTCTTCTGCAGGAATGCTGTCTTCCTTTCGCCAAACATAACTCTTTTCATTTAAACCAAAATTTTTATTTCTGTCTCATCCGTCCACAAATCATTCTTCAATTTATCAAACTGCAGACGAGCAGCAATGTTCTTATTGGAGAGCAGTGGCTTCCTCCTTCAACCCTGCCATGACACTGTTCAGAGTTCTCCTGATGGTGCTCATGAACATTACATCAGTCAATGTGAGAGAGACCTTCAGCTGCTTAGACGTTACCCTGAGCTCCTTTGTGACCTCGCCCACTATTCCACACCTTCTTGGAGTGATCATTGTTGGTCCACCACTCCTGGGGAGGGTAACAATGGGCTTGAATTTCCTCCATTTGGACACAATCTGTCTGACTGAGGGTTGGTGGAGTCCCAACTCTTTACAGGTGGTTTTGTTGCACACAACTTCTTCAGAATCGTTGCAAACATGCTAATACGTGTAGCATTTCATATTTACTTCTCTAAACACAGTGTGATGTCACGTGTTGTTCTGTGCGTGCAGGTTGCATCAGGACCATGGACTGATCACACTAGAGACTGATGGAGGTCACATTTAAATACAATTTAAACAACAACGCAAAATAAATTTGTTGAATCTGAGCAAAAATTCAGAACTAAGCATCATGACCTGCAGTGTGAGCGTAGCCCAAGACCCAGCCTAATGAGTCAAGAGTTCACATGACTGATTTGTTGAAGTCGAGCTACTAATAGGTTAAATTACAAAGAACAACCCAAAATCAGGGTTATTGGATCATTTCAATGTGGAGTGGTGCTAACTGCTCTTAGCATCATCTCTCTAACACCAACTGATGTTATTTTAGAAAACCAAACTCAACGTTTAGTGCAACTTAACGTTTTTAACAAAGCCATTAACATTAAGCATCTTTTTAGGAGTTATTTTTACCCTTTAACTTAAAACATCCTAAAGCAGCGGTTCATTCAGCTTCGATTTGGTGAACGTCTAAATGCTGGACTGTGAAGAAGTGACTTGGCTCTTTTCCAAACCAACCACTGGGTCAAACATTTTGACCCGGTATCTGGTCAAACCAACCCAACCCGTGCACCGACGGCTTTACCTGAGCCACTGAGTTATGAAAATAACTCGGCAGTTTTCAGTGTGATGCTTTGGCCAAATGTTCCAAGTCATTGAATCAAAGTCTAAATGTACATAAAACATACACAATTGACACTTTGGCCTTTTGGGTGAAACACATGACAGATGCTTTTATAATTTTCTACTCTTCAACAGTTAATAGAAAGCTTTAACAGAACAGAGAGAGGAATACCATTCCAGCGCAGAAGAAGGCAGATTGAGTGCCATGTGTTTGTGGAGCCCAGCTGAACTCCTCTTGCTAAACCAGTCTGCTGGTTGTGACAGACCGTCAGGCAGGGAAATAGAGAGGGTGGTGTGTGTGTGTGCGTGTGTGCGTGTATGCTTTACAACAAGAAAGGCATGAGAAAATGAGACAAAGAAGAAGACTGACCAGTAGGGAGAAACACAAATAACAAACTACAAAAGAGCCGGACGTTAAAAAAAATAAAAAAAAAAGGCCGTGCAACTTCAAGAGAATCACATGAATGATGGAGGAAAGGCGGTGTGCTGTAGTCAAACATGAAAAATGAGAGAAAGAGAGCAGGGAGAAGAGGAGGCCGAGCTTTCTGTGGCTTAGCCAGACTGGAGCGGTGGGACTTGGCAGCTTATGGACCCTTGGCTTCTGCACTAAAGCAAGGAAGGAAAAAAAAAATCACAGTCAAAAAATGAAAAGGGCAACAAGCTATGCCAAGAATGCACAGGCAAGAAGCAACACATAGGCTTCTTTCCTTCTGCCTGCCTTCCTTTCTGTTTCCCCGAGCAGATCCAAACAATAGGTGGGACCAACCCTGACAACTGATCTTTATGAAGTCAGAACCCTGCAGAGTGACTCCGGCTCTCTCTTGTATAATGAGCATAACAAACCGTACGGATCCTTTATCTCCCCTTCTAAGAAGTTTGAAAGATCATTTTGTTTATTTTCAACTTGGCCATCATCTCAAATCAAAATGCAACATTAGATGTTAGCTGTAGAGATAAAAGTGCACTTTAAATAACAAGCGGTACGGCGATGTCCCCTGCCACGGAGGGATTTGAATAGTGAATGTTTGTAGTTTTTGAGATGAGTGTTTGTCTGGACTGGAATTGAACAGTTTTTATTGGTTTTTTGTTTGTCCGAGGTGGAGCAGAGCGACGGATCCTGGCGAGTGGAGGGAGCAATTTTATCCACCACCAGGT